CACAGCGATTCACACACTTTACTTACGGTGCCTACTGTTCACTTGACTCAGTTATATATCTCTATAACTATCTATCTATGCAATCTATCTCTTTGATCTATCTGCCTATGTCGCTGGCTTTCTTTGCGCCTCGAACAAACTTGGGTCTCCCCCGATAATTCATGATCCTTCCAGAAACTCCAGCGCGCATGCTCCCAGCGTCACACGACTTCCGCTATCGTAACATAGTGTTATATTTCAGAAATATAAAAAGATTAACGTATCTGGAGTCTTTAACTGAATTTTAATCTACTTTGTTTTATCACATATTAATTTTAAGGATGAAAATTGTATGGTATTAAACATAATTGTCGTTATCTTGATGATTAGCATAAGCTTAAACATAGAGAGAAATTTATTCGAGTTTTGTTCAAACCAGAGTAATGTGTACTTCATTATTTCTCAGTCCATGCCCTAACAGCGAACTCTTGAATATACACAGATGTCATATGCATGTTTTATGATTCGAAATGCTCAATGTACACATTAAAGATTCTATTTTACTGAAATGAAAATAAAACACAGTATATTAACTGATCATTGTGAGCAGTAGTTCAGATAGTTAGGGAGACAACGGACTAATTCATAATTTCTCATGTTCAACTTAGGAGTCAAATTATAGGGGGATTAAGCTTTATGATATGATATTTACAAATTGTTTATTCAATTTAAGCAGGTTAAACAAAAAGCTATAAAATGGGATATTTGTACACCACAGGGATGGAGCCTCAAAGTTAGCCTCCAAGCTTACCACTAAGCCACAGGGGAAGAATACGACCTGAGAGAGAGAGAACATTTAGTATGTACAATGAAGTATCTTTAAACATTAAAATAAAGATATATATCTAAAAAAAAACTTGTCTAGAATAAATCATTCCTAGACCACTTTAAATGGAAGACTTTGCTTTCATCCCAAATCCTTGGACACTCCAGCCAGACAACGGTTACAAGTACTGTATTAGATGTGACTGTTGTTTGTAGAAATCACCACCTTAGCATAAAGCTTAAATCCAATAGCTCTCACTTTAGAACTTAACATAAAAAAATTAAGTGGTCATTCTCACTTACAAGTAATTTCTAGAAGTATAATCGCTATAAGTTATTCTCCTTCATTAAAGTAGTGCAAAAATTATGTAACTGCGAGATTATATTGAAAGATCAATTTGTTTTAATCGATGATGAGTTGCGAAATTGTATTTGAAAAGTTTTTTTTGGTGTACAAAACTTGAGGATAGCTTTTATATGCGGAAACATCTGTTAGCTGAGTTCTTGCACATATCTTAAAATATAACGTTGATAACCGGAAACATCGGCACATGTAGATATGTAGATCTTGAAAGTCGAGTTGTTCAAAACTTGAAAATAGGATTGATAACTGGACCAGTTGTTGGTTGAGATGTTGCAAAGGAAATATCTGCTGAAGCTTTTCGCCAGACACAAATCATAGCAGAACCGTCTGGAAAATAATCTATAGGAAATAGTACAGCTTATAAAATCCTTAAGTCCTTAAGCCAATCAGGAAATGTCGATCTGACTCATTTTATAAGCTGTACTAGTTTCTATAGATCATTTTCCAGACGGTTCTGCTATCATTAGTGTCTGGTGAAAAATTGTATTAATGTTTTATAAGTACAACTCATCAAGTGGATATTTCGTTCTAAAAATAAGAAATATTTTCAAGGAGAGGAATTATTTCTTTTAACGCCTCATTTGGTTTTGGAGCGTCTTATGGAAATATCAATTCACAAAATCTAGTGAGAACAATGTGTAATGTACATCGATGAAGTGACCAGACTTTGAAGTGTAGAATTAGAATGATTACAGTCTCGGGCTGTTATTATTTATGCAAATAACGCTTGAGTTTTTGAGATATGTATTTGGGCCTAAGTGGTGGCTGTACTGACCCTCCAAAAATTCCATCAGTAGAGGAGTGGACAAAGCTAAAGAATCCAAGAGTGTGCTAGACTTAAGGTCATGCTACCAGTGATTTGTGACCAATTTTTAAACAATGTAAACTTGGCATTTAGACTCTTTTAGTTTCAATATGTGTATTTTATATTATATTATAACTGTTTATTAGATTTAAGGAAGGGAACGTAGAAGCATTGTGTTTCCAATATATAGCAAAAAGACAAGTCTGTTCTTTAGAGAGCAGCATTGTTGAATGATTTGTGTATATAGATGGGAATACTACAAAAGGTGGAAAGCATAAACATCTCATAGCATAAGTTAATTAATGTTAAAGCTGCTTCCAATATGTGTGGATTTTATGTAGTCAGATCAAGAAGTAATTTGTAATTTTTGCCATGATTTCGAGCTGCAATTAAAATAGGTCACCGTAATTAAAAAACAAAAACAACAAAAAAAGACCCAAAGCGTAAACCCACGGTTAATTTCTACCACATTTTGTTATTATTTGCTGTTGTGGGATTCTTTAAAAAATCTGAACTAAAGTTAGGCTTAAGCTTAGACAAATATCTGTAAGACACTTTGTTTGTAAGCCACCTACAGTGGACATTCGTGTTTGGTTTCAGGTTGAACGTTTAATGAAAAGAAAAATAGTACAATAACCGTCATATGTTAATTAAAATTTCATTGTTGTGCGACACGACTCTTTAAAGTTCTGAGGATACCTACAGTTAGAGTGTTATTTAACACTGTAGGATTTCTGTTGGTTTACTTTTCTTGGTTAACGTATGGTAAGATTTAATAATCTGTAATGCTTTAGACATTAGTCGTAAATGTTTGAATGCCTTGTCTCCTTCTTATTAAGAATATGTTGTTTCATTTCCCTAACTTCCTCCCCACACACACACACCTGTAAATAACCTTCGCTCCATTTATCTATGTACAACTTATCACAGTTTTTACAGATCAAACAAAAATCATGGACTTTGAAATGAAAGAGAACTTAACACTTACATAACAGGTAGATTTGAGACATGACGAGTGGATAAAGTAGTTTTTTGCAGATAACTATATTATAAAATATTTTCAGGCTTAGCGTCAGATTTGAATGGTTAACAAACAGGTTTTACCTGTGTTTGGAACCTGGATGAGAACTTTGTTTTAATGACAATTATATGTTTGCCTAGAACTCAATGGTTTATAAAATTATTTGATGACACTACACTATAACATAAGGGTTTTGATTCATTTTTATTATTAAGCAATTATTTGTTCACCATGAACTCAATGTTTAATGTTTAGAACATTCTTTGCCGATACTGGGCTATAACATTAGAATTTCTATTCATCTTCATGATTAAACTAAGAAGGAATATCATACTTAAGAATTACCGTATTTTCAGTGTATAAGACGCACTTTTTTACCCCAAAATTTGATGTCAAAATCTGCTTGCGTCATATACACCGAACACCAAATTTCT